CCAGCCCTGCAGCCCGAGCTCCCGAGTCCGAAATGAAGCTCTCTCCCATCGCTGCCGCCGCTTCCTGCGTGTCACTCCCTCTTCCCCCGAACAGGGCCATTGCTTGGGACGACCGGATCCCCCCCCCGTCCCTGCAGCCCAGTGGGTTTTTTGGCGACCTGTCTTGAGCCTCCCCCTGTGCCAATAAGGGTCCACCAAAGTCAGGGATGACCCTGTGGCGAGAAGGACCCCCAAGGGACCTGTATCCCGTGGGAACGCGTCTGCGCGGATTTGGAAGGCAACACTAGAGTGTCTCTCGGGGTTAGATGCCGCAGTCTGTACGGTTTTGGAGGGGTGGTCAAAGAATGCGCTGAGGTAAAGGCCGTCCTAGAATGTCCCTCTATGGATATGTATGCGGGATTGTTCAAAAGAGCTAGTCCTTCCGTTTCCCGCGGCGTGAGGGGTTGAGTTGGGGATGCCTGAGCTTTGGCTGTCCCATAAGGAAACGCCCTGTGGGGCCTGAGACAGAAACACGGCCTCTCAGGCCGACTGAAGTGGGGTCCCTGCAGCCTGCCTTAAAGGCCAGCTCCTGCAGCAGCTGCGGGGTGGGTTGCGGGGGTGGGGGTGGGGGGTGCTGAGAGATCAGGACGAAGCCCAGCCGTTCACGTGGATCTCTTAGGCCCCTCCTGGCAGATACTCTGGTTGGGGTTGTGGGGCACTGCTAATTCTTCAGGCCCTTTCTGTTTCAGTGCAGGTGCGTCAGACTGGCTTTCTTTGCCTCCCCCGGCCTTACAATGTCCTTCACCTCCCTCCACACCCCCAACAAAGACAAAACAAGACACAGCATTTAGCTTATCCTGTGAGCAGTCCGGGGTGGGGTGGGGGGCAGAGTGGAGATTGGAAAGGCCTATACAGAGGATATCTAAGGCCACTTGTCCTGGGACTGCCATTGCCAAGAGGTGGACTAGCATCCTGAAGGTCAGGCTTTTGGTGGCTCTGGCCTTCTGAAGAAGATGAGAGGTTGCTTTGGACCTTGGGGATGAAGGCAGCCAGGGCACCAAGGCATTCTCAGCAAGCCCTTCTCGGGTCTGGGCTGGGTGCAGGTGGGCCTGGCAGAGCCCCCAGTCCCCAGCAGTGTCTGGGGCTCCAGCTTCTCCCTGACCTTGGAGAGAGCAGACAGGGGTGCCATTCTGGATGAAAACTGAAATTTGAACATACAAATTAGAGACAGAACATGGTGTGGTGGGCCTTGGGCCAGATCTCCAACCCATCCATCAACAAGTGTGTGTGTGTGTGTGTGTGTGTGTGTGTGTGTGTGTGTTGACCAGAAAACTGGTCCCTATCTCCTCCCTGTTCTGCTGTTAGTGGTGTCTCTCCCATGGTGAGGTGTCTGAGACAAGACTACTGAAAGTCTGCTCTGTGTTCAGGGAAGGTGGGTGCGTACAGGGAGCCTCTGAAGGACCCTTTTCTGCCCTCTAAGGACCAGCCAGACTGTAGCATGCATAAAGATTCTGTTTTGTATAAGGTTCCTCCTGGAGAGGGGGCCTAGGAAGTATTTTGTGACCCATCCTGTTTCCCAAGGCACTCCGCTCTATTGTACTGCTACTTTGGGACAGCCCCTAATTTTAGCAGGTCTTTACAGATCAGTATATGCAATCAGAGGTTGCTTAAGCTTGACTGTTGTGGGTTACTGGCTTCCCAGAGGTGGGCACTTCATTGACCAAGGGCTGGCATTGAATACTCTGCCAGAGGGCAGGAACCAAGTGTGCTGAGGACAGAGTATGAGCTCAGCCCAAGGCTAGGAAGGACTTACTTATTTGAGAGCCACTAACTATGGAGCTGACACCTAGGTGACATGGCTTTTCCGTCCTGGGAAGGTCTGCAAGCAGAGGTATGACAGGTACCCACAGTCACCTTGGAATAAAAGAATCTAAGATTGCCCAGTCTGACAGCGTTGGGCCTAGTGGCCCAGCTGCCTGGCAACATGGAGGCTAGAAACTCTTCAGCTACGATGTGTTTGTACCAAGCTAAGGATGCCGTCAGAGGCACACGGTGACAGCCACCCCCACAGTGACACACAGAGAGCGAGTGACACACAGCTGGGGAGGCATGTAGGCTTCTCATGACACCTGCCAGGGAAGTGGAACAAAACAGAGACATGGGACGTCAGAAGGACAAACAGACATCGAGGCATGCCCTGTCACACAGTTCTGGGCACATCTGCCTGAAGATCACAAACCTTCCTTAACGATGGCCTGGATGTACCTGAAATCAAGAAGAGATTTTGTGTGTGTGTGTGTGTGTGTGTGTGTGTGTGTGTGTGTGTGTGTGTGTGTACACTGAGTCGCAGGAGTCTAGGGCAAAGGTTTGCAGGCTTTTTTTGGTAAATATAGTAAATATAAGCTAGACAACTATAGAGGATATGAAAACAAAAACAAGGCGTGGATGTGTGTTAATGAACTTTATTTGTGGATGCTGAACATTGGATTTTATGCATTTTCTACATGTTGTGAAATATGAGGCTTCTTTTAATTTTTATTGACCATTTAGAAATGTACAAACCATTCTTGGCTCCCTGGCTGTACAAAAATAGGCAACAGGCTGGATCCAACTGGCTGAAGGGTTTGCCAACTCTGGGGCTGGAAGGTTAGGGAAGTGAAAGGGGCAAAAGTCTGAGGAAGGGAGGTGCTCTGTGCTGGAAGCCCCAGATGACCGGCAGCATCTGGGAGCTTTCCTCTGGCCTCCGAGAGCTCACAGTGCCTGTCGGTGTGATGGGTCAGTTCCAGGAAGGGTGCCCACAGGCTGCAACACTCTACCCCAAAGTGGCTCCCCTTTGCTTGTGAGATACGTTCCCACTCGAGGGACACTGCGGACATCATCTGTGGAAAATTAACCGAAGTTACTGTGGCTGGCTTGCTTCGTGGAACAAACCCCCAGTCCCCCCCCACAGAATCCGGGTTCCCACAGACTGGTGCTGTCCACCTGCCCATCCACTCCTCACCTCCTGGTGTCTTGATATGTCCCTCAACGCCGTGACTCCCTTTCCCAAGCCATCCTGCAGGCATGCAGGCAAGCGCTGTGGAATCTGCTCTAGCCGGTGTGTGCCAGGTGCCTCATAGCCACTCACTGGTGAGCAGCACAGAGGCAGAGGGGGGTCTCTGCCCAGCTGGGAGCCCCTCCTGACTTGTACTACACTAGGTGTGCTCCAGCCCATTGCAGCGCCTTCATTTTCTTCCTCCCTCATCACTCCTCTCTCTCTCTGTATCTCTCTCTCTGCACTCCCCTCCTCCCTTCTTTCTTTTGGCCCCATCTTTTCTTTCCTGCCTCCTCCTTTCCTGCTCCTCTAACCTGTCTGGGTGCGGGTTAGCGTACCCTGACTCGTCCAGGACAGGTGATGTCCCAGTACACTCTGGTGTGAAAGGAGGTTCCTCACAGGACAGTTTTGGGGAGAAGGGCTTTTCAGCTGACCTTGGAGAAGGTCAGCCCCCGGCTCTCTGCAGTTGAGTGAAAGGATATTGCTGACGTGTACATGTGCCCCAGGTGTCCCCCTTCTCTGCCTGCACCCCAAGTCCATGTGAAGTGCTGAGTATGGGTGGGGTCTCTCAGTGAAGACAGGACCCAAGCAGCTCTGAATGGGCAGGTTTGGACACTAAAGAAGGCACAAGCAGGAACGAACCCTTCATCAGCGCTGGCCTCACTGTAGAGGAGAGAAGTTGTAGAGGGGCTAGTCCTTCCATGAAGAAGCCTGTGTCACTTTGAGGGGAGTGGGTGAGGGACTGTGTTTCATCTTTCAGCCTTTCCTCCTGCTTCCCTGCCCTGGGAGGGAGAAGAGGAAGCGGGGTGGGTCCTGCTGCAGCTTCCTTCATAAAGGCAGCGTGTGGAGAGTGTGGGTGTGGGTGAGTGGCGCTCTTTTTCTGGCTGTCTTCTGTCTGGTGTCCACACTTGGTGCTGCTCTTTGGTGAGGAGGGATGCTGAGCAGTGGCTCTGAGGCAGGGAAGATGAGGGACATAGAGTTGTGTGGCTGAGGAGGAGAGGCTGGGGCTGGCCTCTCACCCCTAGGGACCTTCCATGGGGCACAGGAAGCCATGCTGCTCAGGGCTATGAGGAGATGCTAGAGCTTCCCTCAGGGGCCTGGGCCATCTGCGCTGCTGGGGTGGTATGGGAGGGCTCCACAGGTCCCTCCCACCCTGATGTGGACAGTGGGGGCAGCCATGAGTCACTGCCCGCACTGTGTGCTGACTGATGGCGTGTCTTCTGTGTGCAGGGCTGCAGTGGCTTGGGCCTCTGCTCATGGGAGGGCATGACTGGTGTTGTCACTTCCTGCCCCTGGCATGCACTGGCTCAGGGCATCTAGGAGGGCAGGCCTGCCTTGATGGGAAAGGTAAGTGGTGTGCCACTGGGTTCCCCAAACTTCCCTCTAGCTCTGATATCTGTTTACAAGTCCCACCCATTGAGGGCTGCACAGGGCTTCTTCTACACTCTGATAGGTAGAAGGAAGATGGACTCCCAGTAGCCCTCTTACACCTCTCCTGCCATCTCTGGCCAGACCCTCACAAACAGCCTGGAGGAGCCTGGATGAGGAGATAGACAAGATGGAGAAAAGGGGGAGCAGCTGACAGGGCTAGGTGGCAGACCCAGGGGACACCTTCGAAGACTATTCTGGGCCAGAGGAGCCATGCGGGTTTCCTGACAAGTAGCCTAAGACTGCAAACTTTGAGTGCTGGCCAGTAGGGGTGAGGGTGGGGGCAGAAGAGCCTAGAGGACCATTGGGGGATTACTGCTCTGGAGAGACTGTGTGAGGCCATCTCTGAGGTCCCCAGAGGTGGGGAAAGGGAAGTCAAGGCCCCTAGGCTCCAGGTTCTATCTCTCCCTGCTTTCTGGGGAGTGGCTGTGTCTAGTTAGGCAGACTGTGGACTGCATTAGGGGGAGCAAGAGAGGGCAACAGTCAGAGTGAGGTTCCAGAGGAGATGCCATGCTAGGGGTCTCCAGCTCCTTTTACCTGTGCCACAGGGCTGTGGCACACCTCTGCCCTGGTTCTGTGGAAGCTCAAGCAGTCTGCTGAAAATGCAGAGAGCTAGCCTGGGGTGGGCTGGTACCTCCTCTCGGTCTTGAGTTTTTTAGTTTTCTGCAGCTGTGATGAAGGAACTGGCCAATTCAGAGCAGGGGTCCTCTCTGTGTGTATGTATGTGCACACATGTGCTGGCATGTGCTTATCCCGCCTGCACCCGTGTCTGCATCCGCATGGATCTGCATGCCTCGACTTGTCTGATGCTGCTGCAGACTGCGTGTGGGCATCAGCTTGCACACATCCAGACTGGTGAACGCATCTGAACAGCCGCGGTCTGTGTGCCTGCTTCTGCGTATGCCTTTGTTCTGTGCCTGTGTGTCTGCTGTCTGCAGAGGAGTGTGTGTGTGTGTGTGTGTGTGTGTGTGTGTGTGTGTGCGCGCGCAGGTATCCTGGGTCCCTGAAAGAATCGCCACCTGTGCACCATGTCCTGGAAGTTTGTATTGATACTTTGAAGAGAAGCCCTGAGGATAAATGTTTCTTTGTCTCCATGTGGTTGTCATGCCTTGATGCTCATTTTTGTGGACCTGTTTCTTCCTGTATGAGAGAGAGAGAGAGAGAGAGAGAGAGAGAGAGAGAGAGAGAGAG